CTGCCCAGCACAGGCCAGAGACCTGCCCCACAATCATTCCTAGAGCAGAGCATTTAGAAAACATCCCATCTTGATTTTAAAATGGTCAGGGATGCAGAATCCACCCCGCCCCTTGGAAAATTGCTCCAATGATTAATTACTCTGTTAAAAATGTACATTTGTCTGGCTTCAACTTCTAGCCGTTGGATTGGGATCACCCTTCTCTGCTAGATTGAAGAGCATGATTAAATGTTTGTTCCCCATGTAGATACTTATAGACTGTGATCAAGTCACGCCGTAACCTTCTCTGTTAAACGAAATAGATTGAGCTTCTTGGGTCGCTCTCTCTCAGGCAGGTTTTCTAATCCTTTAGTCATTCTCATGGCTCTTCTCTGACCCCTCTTCAGTTTCTCAGCACCATTCTGGAGTTGTGGGCACCAGAACTGAATTCCAGCAGTGGTCACACCAGTGCCAAATACGCCCATGCAATAATCGCTCTGCTCCTACTCGAGATTCCCCTGGTTAGGCATCTCAAGATCACATTAGCTGTTTTGGCCACAGCATCACATGGGGAGCTCATGTTCAGTTGATTATTCACCCCCACCCCCAAATCTTTTTCAGAGTCGCTGCTTCCCAGGATGGAGTCCCCGATTGTGAAAGTCCGGCCTGCGTTCTTCGTCCCCAGCTAGCCTGAGGCGCTCACTCTTGTTTCATTCAGTAGAAGACTTTGTATTTCAGATTGTTTTTCCCCAATTTTATTTTGCATAAAGTGCCATGGTCATCAGCAGAAAATACTTGACCCCCACTGCTCCCGGCACCCTGTGACAAGGCTCCATCCCTGGAGCACCTGGGGGGGGGGTCAGCTCGCACCCAGCAATGACACATTTCGAAATCAGACATGTAGGCAAGTCTGAGATAGTACATATTACAAACAGATTTCAAACACCTCCGGGGGGTGAGGGGAAGGGAAGCGTTTTTGCTTTAAATATCAACTGTCATCTTCATTCCGCACTGGGAGGGGCGTGAAAGCGAAGGCCCCTACGTCTGTTGGGAGCATCGCCAGATTGCAAGGTGAAACCTCACACGGTTCCCACTGCAGTCTCATGGCTCTTTGGCCTCTGTAGCAACACTGGCCATGCCCTGGTACAGGGACCAAGGGACAAGTTTCTGTCCAGAATCACCCCCAAAGCCCCTCACCTCATGGGTGTCTTTGGGGGTGGAGGAGGGAAGGAGGAGGCTGGACAGCTCCACCCAAATAAATAGTGGTTCCAAAGAAGAAATGCAACAAATACTAAAAATAAACAGAGTCCGCTTCCAGTGAAAATGCATCAATCCTGACCCGAGGAATGCACTTTAATGTCCTCCCCTTATGGAAGAAAATCCAGAGCGGTGTGTTTGGTTGGGGGGGAGTCCCCCCCTCCCAGTTTTAAATAAGAAACTCACTGCTGAAAAACAGCTCCACAAATGGAAAGAGAAAGATAGTGACAACTTAAATAAATCATCTTTACATGCACAATCGTCACGTACCCGCTCGCGACGCTTTATACAGGGCTATTTACACAACAGCATATCCACCGGGGGACAGGGGAGGGCGGGGAGGATGGCGGTGGATGCTGGTTTAGCAGCAACTGGCGTGGATTTCGCCAACAGTCCCGATTTTAGGGTCATGGGGGGTGGGGCTGGGGGACACGACCTAAGCTTCTATAGTCGTGGAGTTGATCTTTTAATTAAAAAAAAGCAACAAGGCATTTGGGCCCATCCCCATGTTAGTTAATGATACTCTCTCATATAAAAATATACATATAGCTTATGATACAGTAGGGCTGCGTGTGTCTATAAAGGGACTTTATATCCCTGCCTATAAATCATGTATCTGTGCACACAAGCGCCCCAGAGATGTGCAGGGCCCGGGAATGCCATGGGGATGCTCGGGAAGGTCTGAGCCTGCTCACTGCTGTGCAGGGGGTCTTTGACCTGACGGTGACTGGTCTGGGATTGTGCCCTTGCTCGTCGACGCACAAAGAAACCCCTGAGCTTGGCGGATATTCTGAATCTGAATTTTGTCCCCGTACAAATTGCAGGGAGTCAGGGCTGGAGCCCCCTGGGGTTTGCCGGAGGAGTCCCCGGCTGCCAGCGCTGGCTCCCACCTTGAACAGGTGACTCGAACAAAGATGGCCTTTTCCCCAGGCGTGCATTAGGCATTGGCGTGAATAGCTGTCAACACAACCAAAAGCGTTGAAAACAGGCCCCTTCCCCACGCGCTGGAGCTTGTTTCGTCAGGGCTGAAGCTGCCTAGAGACACGCCCCGACTAGCTCAGGTAAAAACCAACCCCTTCTTATGGCCCAACGTCTCAGGCCTCATGTATCCATCAGAAAGGGAACAGCAAAAGGCACAAGCCCCATTTCTTTGCAGGGCCCCTTTAAGGGTGAGCAAGAAAGAGTCCCTGAATGGCTTCCTGTCTCCAGTAAGGGCCAGATCCTGGGAGCAGAACTCCCGGGAGTCGGGGCTTTTAGGAACTCTGCCTTGGGGACGTTGTTAAAGGCCTCAGAGCTAACCAGGCTGTGACCCAGCTGAGCCCTGGTCGGTCCTAGCACAGGGCACCCAGGAAAGGTTTCCGATGAGCCATAGTAGAAGAACTAGGTGCAGTCTCCCCGCGGGCTTATCGCTGCACCGAGAACTCCCCAGCCAGGCTGGTTATAAAACCTGACCGTGGCTGCAGCTACCATGGTGCTGAGCCCGGTGCCTGGGCATCAATTAACCAATCGGCACCGCCCCAGGCACTGATATACCACGGCAAAGCCACCTGTGCGCACCTGCAGGCCCCCGAGCTCCCGCGAGAGAGCACCATGGCCTCCCCACCCAACGCGAGGCTGGGTGGGATGAGCCACCGGACCTCTGGAGGCGCCTGACAGTTTTCACCAGCAGGGCAGCGCCTCCACGGGAAATCCTGATGCGCGTGGTCTGGTAGCACCCCCGCGGTTTCCCTGCCCACTCTCTGCTCTGCGTGCGTTTGTCAGCTACCTCGTTCCGTGTCCTGAGCACGGCCTCCAGCCTGGCACCAGCTCTTGTGCCCTCCCAACCACCCGCTCGTGGAGGAGAGACGTGAACGCTCGTCCCTTGGGAATCTCTCGTGGCTTCAGGCGCCAATAGGAGCCAAGCCGCGGGCAGGTAAAGCTGCAACCTCAGGTGCTGGAGATGGAGGAGACCTATCAGACCTCCCAGCCTGCGCCCTGCCACGCAGGATTGTCCCCCGCACTCCAGTCCAGCTCCAAGTGACCCAAGTAACGGCTGCCTGGTAGCTGCAGTATCGGAGTGCCTAGCCTCAGGCCAGGCCTGGAGGTCAGTCCTCTGCCTGCAGGATGAAAAGCCTCCCAGTTCTGACAGTAATTCCCTCCGTGGCCTCAGGCAAGTGGCTTGCCTGCTCCCTGCCTCAGTTTCCCAATCTATAAAGTGGGGTGGTAATACTGCCCTACTTCCTGGGCGGGGAGGGGCTGGGAATAGTCATGGGTGCTGGTACAGCATGCGAAGTGCGAATTTTGTAATGGTGACCCACAATCCACCGTGCCTTGCAGGAAGAGTGTCCCCAATGGGAGGAGGGATAGCTCAGTGGTTTGAGCATTGGCCTGCTAAACCCAGGGTTGTGAGCTCAATCCTTGAGGGGGCCATTTAGGGATCCAGGGCAAAAATTGGGGATTGGTCCTGCTTTGAGCAGGGGGTTGGACTAGATGACCCCCTGAGGTCCCTTCCAACCCTGATAGTCTATGATTCTATGAATATCCATGCCCCTCCGCAGCCCATTCCAGTTACACCCCCCTGCTTATGGGGACACTCTCCTCTGGAACGGCCCAGAGCCATCAATCCTCCAGCCATTCTACTCCCCCAGCATCATCCCTGCGGCAGATCCTGCGCACCCCCTCCCTAGATCCTAGCTGCAAACCCTCTTCAGAGTGGGTACGCGGCAAGGGCGCTGCGAGGTAGGGCTGAATTAGCCAGGCTGGGGGCAAAGGAAGGGGCTGGACCCAAGGCTGGTGAAGCACCAGACAGCAAGAGAGTGGGTTAGCACATCCCCCAATCCTGCAGCCAGACTAGCAAAGGGACAGGCAAGCAAAGAGAGACACCAGGTGCCGAACCCACCCCTCATGCTTGGTGGGGTACAGGAGACTTTTCAAATGAGATTTAGTCAACGTAACGCTGGGGAGCAACACTCACAGGGACCCAGCGGGGATCAGGGAGTAAAGGAGTCCAGGGCTCACTCTCACCCTGCCAGATGAAGGGGGCAGGGAACTCACAAACGAAACCAGTAATGAGCAGGCTTGCAGCACCTCCGCTGGTCAGCCCTGCCCCTCTCCCCGCAGCCCGCCAGCCAGCCCTGCCCCTCCCTCCGTCCCCTCCCAGCCAGCCAGCCAGCCCTGCCCCTCCCGCCCTCTCTCAGCTCCTCCATCCTCTCCCTTCCCCTGCTTACACCACACAACACCTAGGGGACCTGGCTACTTTAAAAGACACCGGCCTGTTCGAACCCTTCTAGCCATGGCTCCTCGGTTCCCAAGGCCACGCCCAGGCCAATCAAAGCATGCAGAGGCCAGTCATGCTATTGCTACCCTCCATCTACAGCCTGGGCCCAATTCCTCCACCCCCCCACGCACCTGGAAAGTCCTTAGGAGGGGACATCAGCTACTTGTCCTCATCCTGGGACAGAGGCCCCAGCCAGCGCCAAGTCCAGGCTGCAGAGATCAGACAGGTACAAAAAGGAAGGATCCGGCGGGACTGGTACTATCAGACAGTGCAACGCACCAGCTGGCCCAGTGTCTGGCAAGGAGGGGGCGGGAGGTTTTCTAAGCAAGACAGAGCTAGTTCGAAGGGAAGAACACACCTGTACAAATACATCACCGACCGAAGCTAAAGCGCGTGTCCGAGCGTCTGTGTATATTTGAGATCCTCCCCATCGCTTTGGAATGCATCCCAAGCAGACCCGAAAGAAGAAGACATTAACAAGCCACAAACATGGCACTGGGGGGGGGGGGGGAGAGCGGGGGGCAGGGAGGGGGAGGAGGGAACCTACAGGCACTTATTGGCCTATGAAAAGGGAATCAAACTATTGGCCTTTGGCTGCTCCTCTTCTGTCTCTGACACAGACACCGGAGCTGAAGGCTGCCTCCCCCACGCTGTACACAGACACCCCTTGTTGTTGGCTCATGGGGCGGGGGGACAGCCAAGCCAGATTCCTTGTAAGTGGTTGGAGGCGTCTGGCCTGGCCTGGGGGAGAGCTGGCCCAGGCGAGTCAGAGGAAAATCCCTGGCTCGCTGCAAGCTGGTTTTCAAAGGTCACAGCAGGGAGAGGGCTGCGCTGCACATGAGGTTGGCGGGGAGGGGCGCAGCTGGTCCTTGGGGCGCCGAGCCAGTCACCGGTCCAGGACGCGAGCGAAGTCCTCGCGGGCGCTGCCTTCGTTTTTGAGGTCGGCGAAGACCTGGGTGAAGTAGTGGGGGTCGGCGTTGATCCGGAGCATCTTGCCGCTCAGGGCGTCGATGATGCGCAGGCACCGGTCCCAGAAGGCGTCCTTCGCCGCCTCCACCAGGAAGGGCTTGAGCGGGTAGGAGATCTCGTTGCCCATGTAGGAGTAGGACAGATAGAGGCAGGTGAGCAGCGCCGCCTGCAGGCCGTGCTCGCTGGAGACCGAGTCCCCGTCGATCACCTCCCGGCACAGCAGGTAGACGAAGACCACGTTGACCGGGGTGATGAAGGCCTGGTCCTGCCAGCCCTGCAGCAGCAGCGAGCGGTCCACGCTGCGCAGCCACAGGATGGGCTCCGTGGGCGACAGGTGCTTGAGGCGGTAACACCGGCGGCAGAGGAATTCGCCCAGGCACTTGAGCAGCTCGCTGGTGGAGGCCTGGACGACCACGCGCCGCGGGGAGGCCGAGCTGCCCCCGCCCGGGCAGGCGCCCGGCTTGAGGGAGGAGACGGAGGTGGTGGAGATGCGCTGGGCGCTGAGCGGCGCCCCGCCCCCCTCGTAGCTGGCGAGGTTGGCGCAGGACAGCGACTTCTTGACGTTCTCGTGGTTGAGCAGGGCCACGTCCTTGGCGTGGGGCGGGGGGTGGTTGTGATTGTGGGCGGGCCCCTTCCCCCCGCCCCGGGAGCCTTTCCTCTTGGTGGAGGCCACCAGCCGCTTCCAGGTCAAGGCCGGGATGAACATGGAGTGGCGCTTGAGGGGCTTGTCCCCCTTCTGCCCCCCGCCCTTGGCGCTCGGCAGGGCCGGGTAGTGCGCCGGCGAGCCGGAGGAGCCCTCTTCGTACAGGCTGGCCTTCCGGGAGCCCGGCGAGACGGACAGCACGGTGCCCATGCTGGGGGAGGCGGGCAGAGGGATGAGCCAACAGGGCGGGAGCCAGGCAGCGAAAGCAAGGGGGCTGCGAGTGCAAATCCCCGCATGCAGCTAATTAGCAAGCCGGCAGGGCTGCAAGCGACGCGCCGTCCGGCAGGGAGGCCATTCCCCAGCAGCCTGGCCGGGCAGCGGGCTGCCTGCGATGTGGCAGCGGCGGACGCAGCGTTAATTAGCAGCGTTGCATGGCGGTCCTGTCCTGTGCCTGCAATTAACAGCCTGGCACGCGTGCACGTAACTAGCCGTCTTGCGGAGCGCTTCCGTGCAGGCAATTAAGGCTCAGTCTTGCGTGGCCAGCCCGGGCAGGCGAGGCAGCAGCAGGCTCGAGCCCAGCCGGCAGGAGGATGCTGCCAGCCGCGCCGAGCTCCATCTAATCCAATCGCCGGCCAGGCCCGCTGGCGGGGGGCGGGCTCCTGCGCAGGTTCGCGTCCCGCCGCCGGGAGCCAGGCAGGGAGCCGGGCGAGCCCCTGGGCCGGGGGGCTCAGGGCTGCTCCCGGATCGCCGGCGGCTGCAGCCCCCGGGCCATGGGCTGGGACGAGGACAGATCCGGGCTGGCACCGGCCGCAGGGAGCCGGCGGCTGCTGCTGGCGATGGCGCTTCCTCGCCTGGCTACCTGGGCGGCAGCCGCGCCCCCCACCCCGGGATCTAGAGGCTCCGGGCGGGGCCCCCCCTCTCTGCACTCAGAGCCCCCCCGCGGCGGAGATGGCTGGAGGGGGGGGCGGGCGGCGGCCCCCCCTCCCGCCCCGATCTCGGGTCCCCCCTACGGGGAGATGCTGGGGAGCCGGCCCAGGGAAGATGCGCCAGCGGATCTCCTGCCGTGGGGGGGTCACGGGTCCGCCCGGAGCAGCGGCCCCCGGCCGGGCGCCGCAGCAAAGCCCGATCCCGGGGCGGGGTGAATCCGGCCCGCTCGGCTCTCCCGGGGGTCCAGCAGCAAACCTCTTCCTGCCCCCCCAGGCGCGGCTCTCTGCGGGGCCCGGCCCGGTGCGGCGCTGCCTGGGGAGACCTGCCGCATCTGAGCCGCCGGGATCGCAGGAGCAGGAGGAGGAGGGACCGAGGGATGGTCCTTAGCAGCCACGTCCCCCCGCAGGCATCCTCGCCCCGTGGGGCAGGCAGGGAGCCGGGCTGTGTGGGGCTCGTGCTCCCCCTATGGCTGGGCCGCTGGAATAGACTTCACCGGGCGGACAGACAGACAGGCAGGGGCCCCTCTCCCCCCGACACGCCAAGGCCCCCGCCCCAGGAGATGGGCTGGGCTGGGCTGAATCCAGGCTGGGTAGAATGGCTTCTGGCAGGGGCAATTAGGGTACCCGCCAATATGCCCCCCTTGCCAGCAGCCCTAGGCAATCTCCCCCTTTCCCAGGCTGCACCCCCAAGCGGGCTCTACCAGGCACGGGGGGGAGGGTGCGAATACCTGCAGCCTGGGGGCGGGGGGCAAGTGGCAATGGAGTGAGGGGGCCATGGGGGTGGCGTTCCCCACAGGGTTTGACGGGCTGCCGGATCTGCGGGCACCTGCTCGATGGGGGATGCTGCTGCTGGCAGCAAGGGGATATCAGGTCTGCAGGGCATGAGGGGGTGAGGCCGGGACCGGGCCAGGAGTGAGGGGTGCAAACGAGCAGGCAGGGCCCGGTGTTGAGCCACTGCCCCTTGTGTGTCCTCTCAGCCCCCCGGCCCCCCCCCGGGCTTGGAGGGGACCAGCGCTGCCAGCGTCACAGGAGAGGGGGTCTTTTGCCTTCCCTGCTTGGCCAGATTGCCCCCCCCCCACAAAGTTTTGGAGGAATGCAGCTTTCCCTGGGCTGGGCTAACCCAGCCCCCTGTGCCCTGGGAAGTGGTTGGGGTGGGGAAGGAGCTTAAAGGCCAGAGGATTAGCCATCGCAGATTGGGCAAGCTAGGCCCGGGATCCTGTCTCTGTCCAAGGGTCGGAGGATTGGCCGCCGCGAGTGCTTCTTGGGGGAGGGACGCACCCCTGCAGCGAACGGACACCCTGAGTCATGAGCCCCAGTTGCTGCTTCCAAGGAGCCAAGAGGAGTTTTAGGGGAGGGGAAGAGGAAGCAGAAAGAGTCCAGAAGCTCACAGCAACTCTGCTCCCTCTGCCCGTCCTGTGAGAGATGGTCTGTCTGCTCCTCCCCACCTTCCTCCATCCCTGCAAGGCCAGGCCTGGGAAGGGAGAGGGGAGTGAAGAACCCTGAGAGATGCTGGAGGAGCAGGAGCACATGGAGGGGGAGGGCAGAGGGCAGATTGGGGGGCTGGGAATGCATAATTAGTTGCTGGGCTCTGGGGGCACAGATGTGGGGTAGAACTGGTGTGGGGCTTGCAGGTTGGGACAAAGTAGGAATGTTCTTAATGTTTTCTCTGAACACTGTGTGCACCTCAGTTTAGCTATGTATTACTCAAGTATCTAGGCGGTGTATCTAGGCAGTGGGATAAGGGTGGCTGATTCTTGCAGAGGAGGGGGCCCGGCCATCAGTTGCCAGGCTACAGAGTGTTGGTTGTTCTCTGCAGCCAGTCAGCAATCACACCTGCCCTCTAGGGGTCACTGCAACAATCACACACCTTTATCCCACCACCTAGATACTTGAGTACCACACAGGGGAAACTGAGGCATACACAGTATGCAGAGAAAACATTAACAACATTCCCACTTCGTCACATGGGTGCATAATGAATTGATTGGCTGTGGGGTGGGCAGATGGGGCACAAATAAATTAATTAGAAGGGGGGAGGACTCTGCAACATCAGGCATTCCCTGAGAGAGCGAATGCTGAGTGGGGCCAGAACTGCCCTGCTCTGTATGTGTGGGAGTGTTGGCAGCCCTGGTGGCTTCCTGCCCCCAGCAATGCACCATGGTGTGTGGGTAGTTCCAAAATCAAGAGATCAAAAAACAGCACCATGATCTTTAAACAGCTCTCTTCATTGGGGGGCCAGGCTCCTGAGTTCTGGGTCCTGATATTTGAATTGTGAAGTGGGCCTTAATGCACTCTATGGTTAATAGCATCGAAGGGAATCTCAGTTTCTCCCCCGCCCCCACCCCAAGCACTGATCCATGTGTGAGCTTCCTTCTCAATCAGGCAGGAGGGCTTTGCATCTTCTTCACGGTAGAGGAGGTGAGGGAGATTCCCACACCTGAGCCGTTCTATTTAGGTGACAAATCTGATTATTGTCCCCGACTGAGGTGTCAACAGAGAAGGTTTTGGAACAAATTGAGAAATTAAACAATAATAAGTCCCCAGGACCAGCTGGTATTCACCCGAGTTCTGAAGGAATTCAAATGTGAAATTGCCAAACTACTAACTCTGTACCAGATGATTGGCGGGTAGCTAATGTGACGCCAATTTTTTTAAAAGGTTCTAGAGGCGATCCTGGCAATTACAGGCTGGTAAACCTAACTTCAGTGCCAGGCAAACTGGTTGAAACTACAGTAAAGAACAGAATTATCAGACACATAGGTGAACGTGATTTGTTGGGGAAGAGTCAACACATCTTTTGTAAAGGGAACTCACGCCTCACCAATCTATTAGAATTCTTTTAGGGTGTCAACAAACATGTAGACAAGGGTGATCCAGATGATACAGTGTACTTGAACTTTCAAAAAGCCTTTGACAAGTCCCTCACCAAAGGCTCTTAGGCAAAGTAAGCAGTCATCGAATAAGAGGGAAGGTCCTCTCCTGGATCAGTAACTGGTTAAAAGTCAGGGAACAAAGGGCAGGAGTAAATGGTCAGTTTTCACAGAAGAGAGCGATAAATAGCAGGTTCCCCCAGGGGTCTGTGCTGGAACCAGGGCTGTTCAACATAGTCATAAATGGTCCGGGAAAAGGGGTAAACAGTGAGGTGGCAAAGTTTGCAGATAACATAAAATTATTCAAGATAGTTAAGTCCAAAGCAGGCTGCAGAGAGTCAGAAAAGGTTCTCAAAAGACTGGGAGACTAGGCAAGAAAATGGCAGATGAAAATCAATGTTGATAAAGGCAAAGTAATGCACCCTGGAAAACATAATCCCAACTCTACATATAAAATGATGGGGCCTAAATTAGCTGTTACCACACAAGAAAGAGAACTTGGAGTCATTGTGCGTAGTTCTCTGAAAACATCTATTCAGTGTGCTGTGGTAGTCAAAACAGAGAACAGAATGTTAGGAACCATTAGGACAGGGATAGATAATAAGACAGTAAATATCATAATGCCTCTATATAAATGCATGGTACACCCACAGCTTGAATACAGCGTGCAGTTCTGGTCACCCCATCTCAGAAAAGATCTATTGGATTTGGAAAAAGTACAGAGAAAGGCAGCAAAAATGCTTAAAGGTATAGAACAGCTTCTGTATGAGGAGAGACTGAAAAGAGTGGGACTGTTCTGCTTAGAAAGGAGCCGACTAAGAGGGGATCTGACAGAGGTCTATGCAGTCATGACTGATGCAGAGACAGTTAATAAAGAAGTTTCAGAGTAGCAGCCGTGTTAGTCTGTATTTGCAAAAAGAAAAGGAGTACTTATGGCACCTTAGAGACTAACAAATTTATTTGAGCATAAGCTTTCGTGAGCTACAGCTCACTTCATTGGATCCAGTGAAGTGAGCAGTAGCTCACGAAAGCTCATGCTCAAATAAATTTGTTAGTCTCTAAGGTGCCACAAGTCCTCCTTTTCTTTTTGTGAATAAGGAAGTGTTATTTACCCGTTCACATAACACAAGAACCAGGAGTCACCCAATGAATGAATAGGGAGCAGGTTTAAAACAACATAAGGAAGTATTTCTTCACACAATGCACAGTCACCCTGTGGATCTCGTCACCAGGGCATGTTGTGAAGGCCAAGACTACAACAGGGTTAAAAAAAGAATTAGGTAAGTTCACACAGAGGACAGGTCCATCAATGGCTATTAGCTAAGATGGTCACGGACTGCTAGAAGCTGGAACTGGATGACAGGGGATAGATCACTCAATAAATTGCCGTGTTCTGTTCATTCCCTCTGAAGCCCCTGACACTGGCCACTGTCAGAGATAGGGCATTGGGGCTAGAGGAACCACTGGTCTGACCCAGTCTGGCTGTTCTTATGTGGCTCACTGAGCAAACTGATCCAGTGTGGGACCTGCCAAGCTCACTGCTGGAGCCAGTATCCCCGCAGGGCCGCTTTCCCACTCTGCCCCCACCCCCAAAAGCAGGGAGCCGGGGAAACTGCCTAGCGGGGGCGCTGAGCAGGGGACCCATTGTGGAGTGCTGGGGTCCCTCAACGAAAGCTGCTGCTGGAAGATGATCGTCCTTAGGGCAGGAGCAGCCAGGTGGACTGTGGGCGGGGCTAGGGTGGAATGCTGGAAAAGGGGTGTGGCCTGAAACTGCCTGGTCCCTGCCCCCAGGTTTGGGGCCTCTGTTAAGATCCAGTGTGAAGATGAGTACAGGGCATTCTGCTCAGGTTACTCCCTGCAGCTCCCTCTCAGGTAGGGGCCCATCCACCGGTGTACAGCAGGGGTGCCCTGTCAAGGGCCACGTCCACACCGTGCCAGAAGCCTGCGCCCGGTTTGCATGAAATGGGGCAGGTCGTGGCCTCCAGCCCCAGGACACCCCTGTGCACGCCATGCTGCCATGTGAGCCTCGCATCTGGTGAACTTCAGTGGGAGAGTCCCTTGCGTCAGGGCAGAGTCAGCTCTGAGTCAGATTTGCCGAAGCAGGAGCGCTTCACCAAGGCAGCTCTAGGTGGGCACCGCTGATTCATCCACACAACGCCCTTTAACCTGCTGCTGTCTGTTGGTGCTGGACACACACTTCACTGGTCAGTTCCAGAGGCCGCCAGACGCGGGGCTGGAGGGACAAGCCACTGGGGAGGGGCTAAAGGGTGGGGGGGTTGATGGGGAAAAAAACAAGCAATTAACATTTTTGTCTCAACCTCAGTAAGAATAGGCTCCTGCCTGCTGCTGGCTTTCTATTCTGGGGCAGCCTTTGTGGAAATGAAGGAGAGGAGGGGAGGCTGCCGGCACAAACACCAGAATAAACTTCTTACAGAGCACAGAAATAGATCCCCGAGCAAAACGGGGGGACGGAACCCGGGGCTTAGCGCTCGGAGTGAGCGGTACCTGGTATCTAGTGAGAGCCATGCAAGGAGGAGAAGTGGAGGGGGCTAATTCTTTATT